GGTGTGTGTGTGTGTGGTGTGTGTGTGTGTGGTGTGTGTGTGGTGTGTGTGTGGTGTGTGGTGTGGTGTGTGTGGTGTGTGTGGTGTGTGTGCGGTGTGTGTGTGTGGTGTGTGGTGTGTGTGGTGTGTGTAGTGTGTGTGTGTGTGTGGTGTGTGTGGTGTGTGTGGTGTGTGGTGTGTGTGGTGTGTGGTGTGTGTGATGTGTGTGGTGTGTGTGCGGTGTGTGTGTGGTGTGTGTGGTGTGTGGTGTGTGTGATGTGTGTGGTGTGTGTGCGGTGTGTGTGTGGTGTGTGGTGTGTGTGTGGTGTGTGTGGTGTGTGTGGTGTGTGGTGTGTGTGTGGTGTGTGTGGTGTGTGGTGTGTGGTGTGTGTGTGGTGTGTGGTGTGGGGTGTGTGTGGTGTGTGTGGTGTGTGGTGTGTGTGTGTGGTGTGTGTGGTGTGTGGTGTGTGATGTGTGTGGTGTGTGGGCGGTGCGTGTGGTGTGTGGGGTGAGTGTGTGCGGTGTGTGTGTGGTGTGTGTGGTGTGTGTGTGGTGTGTGTGGTGTGTGGTGTGTGTGTGGTGTGTGGTGTGTGTGCGGTGTGTGTGGTGTGTGTGTGGTGTGTGTGGTGTGTGTGGTGAGTGTGTGCGGTGTGTGTGTGGTGTGTGTGGTATGTGTGGTATGTGTGGTGTGCCGACCGTTCGCTCGCCACTGGGCCGATTTGCGGGGGGAGAGGGAGGTTCAATTCCCATCGCTGTTGCCACAGTTTCTACGGTGAGCCATCAAGACACGTCTATTATTGTGAATTGAACAGCAGTCTCGTGTGTACGTTGAACTCCTTTCGCACCACACATGGCCCACCACGCTAATCGTATGTCCCGGGGAAGGACAGCAAACTAACGCACAAATAGCAGTTTCAAATAAATGAGTTTGTCAATCTAGATGATGATGTAAAAGTGCACACAGCTCCAGCGGCTTCCCAATATCGGAAGGGGGAGAGCGTTCCAGACGGCCGCAGAAGCCCCACCTGAAAGCGCTGCGCGATGAAGCGGCGACCGCCGTTTTTATTCGATGACGAGACAAAAAGCCGCTGCGAGGATGAACGCAGCTCGCGCGATGGTTCACGTTAATTGGCGAGTGAGTATGTGCATACGTACGTTGGACTTCTTTCGCACCGTACGTAGCCAACCGCGCTAATTTGGAAGTGCGGGTGAACTACGGCAAACTAAAGACAAAAAAGCAGCTCCATGGCTCTCTGGCGTCACATGCAATCAGTGGCCCACTGTCCAAATGTACCAACTGCCTCGGTTTTCGCGGTTGTGCTCTATAGCTCTCCGTTGTGCCTTTGGGTTATATCGCGTGTTGTCCGACGTTTCACTGCCACACGCCGGGAGAGATTCAGGTCTTTTTTGATATTCGGTTCTTCCAGACGCTCCCAGGACGTGGATCGAAACGTCAGACATCGTGCGGAAACAACACGCTGAGCACAGCACGCGATGCATCCGCGAGCACGGTGACATCTCTTGTGAATTTGTTCGTGATTTATTGAACGATGTTTGTCATTCCACTTATTAACCAGGGTGCCACAGTGGCGAGATGTTATCTCCCTCGCCTCAATCAATCAATCAATTTCTATTTTACGTGCCCAAAATCGCCCTCAATAAAGTAGGCATCGGTGCACATTACGACAGAACGTGAACGGTACCTCCTGGCATGGAGGAGGTGGTGGGTTCGATTCCGACTCTGACGCCTGTATATTTTGAGTTTGCGTGTCTCTCTCCACGTGGTCGCGTGGATTTATCTCCGGTTTCTCCGGTTTTCCCACCACTTTTGGAATCAACGTGCGTTTAGAGTTTTGGCTGCTGTACATTTCCACCTGGTAAGCCACTTCCTTGAGCTCTCATTTGTGGCCAGGTCACCTTTTGAAAAAGAGCTATACTGCTCAGTTGTCTTTACTTGTTAAAACAGAAAAAAATGTTGAAATATAGTTGATACATCGGAACTGTGCGAGGATGAGCATTGCACCAAAAACATTCGGCGAAAACAAAATCCCCTTTCAAAAAAATTCAAGTTTGATTTTTGAGAGTGCATGACCTGACCTGGAGGTCGGATCAAAACGCTGGAGTGATTTGTTGGTCGCAATCGCTCGCGAGAATCACGTGATAACGGATGCCTGCTTTTACACCAGTGCTGCCCTTTGACGGGCGCACCAGAGGTCACTTGAAATTGATCTCAGAGGTAGCTCTGTGATATCCCCTTCCGCGATGGTTTGCCCCACCCTGAGAGATCTGAATGCATTCTTCATCCCATGCCAAGATGCCGATAGCAATTCTGGGAAAACATTATTTAAACGGCGAACAAATAAATAAATTAGTGTTCGCGAATGCAGCTGCAGCTGCCGCTGGATTGTGACGACGACGGTGGTTTCAACAAAAATAAATATTTATAAACGCATCGGACCGTTAAGTAACGGGAGAGCCACCGCGTCATTGCCGCTGGCTGAATGAGTGCGGGTCCGCTCACTTCCTGGGTGCTCAGCGGGGCCGTGCCGCCTCTGCATGTAGACGGCGAGGAGGAGGGCGGCTGCCCCGGCCGCCACGAGCCACAGGAAGGCGCGGCGAGCGGGCATCCCTCGAGACACACGCCCCATGTCGGCCACCCCCCACCCCCTCACTCGGAGCCTCCTCGCTCGCCTTCGTCTCGTCTCGCCCGCTTGCACGATCGCTCGTCCGCTTGCTCACTGGCCCGCCCGCCCGCCCGCCCGCTCGCTCGTTCGATCGCTCGTCCACTCGCTCCGAGGCCGGCTCGCTAGCTGCCGAGAATGACAGCGATTCTCCGACGCTGCGGAGACAAATTGACAGTGGCAAATTTTTACTGCCGGCGTCAGTGACCTGTAAGGCAAAATGCAATGATACCGGTAAGCACGACGATTGGGGTAAACTAAACAATAAAGTGTTGGGGTAATTACATGTAGTGGTAGTAATAGTAATACTTAACAAACAATGGCTGGAAAAAATGTGTTGTATTATATAATCAAGGGTCACCGCGCAGATGGAGCAAATGAGATTTGCTCACGTGGGTGGTGACATCACAGAGCCGTGCGCGATGGTGACAGTGTGCGGAAGCCTTCGTTTGGCAGCGAACAGATCTGGTGACGACGATGACAGCCTATGAAGATTGGGTGGCTTTCAACTTAAAAAAAAAATTGGATTTGCTCAGTCTATGCCCAACTCACGTGACCAGGGGTCAGAAACCAACATAACAAGAGGAGCCATTTTTTTGTTTCGAATTCGGTAGACAGAAACTCTCAATATTTCAAAAGCCCAAATGAACTGTGCGGTGAATACGAGTCGGCGGTGGTCCCTTTATAAACGACGTCACGAAGGGTGAGCCACATTCGGCTCCGGAGCCGCAGTTTGCCGTCCCCTGCACACGTATGTATGATGCATGTTGAACTTATTTCGCAACGTGTGTAGCCAACCGTGCTAAGTCGGAGGTGCGGGGACCCATCCAGCGCACTTGGTTGTTACTCATAATAAAAGTTTTCTGGGTTAGATCGCAGCCAATTCGCAATGGCCAATTGAAGACAACTTCAGCACAACGGTTGTGTATTGGAGAGGAAACCCACAACATTTACACTTTGACCACTTTGACGTTTCGCTGGTGATTACAACCAGCTTCATCAGGCGATTTGCCAGGACTGTGGTTGTGAATCGTGGTCGTGTGGAGCGGTGGTGCAGTGGTTAGGGCGCTGCTCTACGAACCAGCGACCCGAGTCCAATTCCCGCTCACGACCAACACCGGTGACGATTATTCGAACCTGGAATATCATTTTCAAATGTCTAAAATAACGTGGTTAAGTTTTTCGGAAGCTTTTTTTTTGGTTTGTTAACCTAACTCACAGGGCATAGCCTTTACGTAACTCATCATCGATGTCATGGGTCTTTGTGGTTTATTTCTGGTTTTAATCAGCCCTTACGTGAAAACGACTAAACTGAGGGCTGTGACTGACTCGTGGAGGGACCAATGCAAACTCTCGCAAAGTAAAGCTGCAATTATCAACGGTGAAGCTCACACAAAACAGGGACATTCGCTAACAGGGTGAAACCCCCCCCCACACCCCCCTGCACTATAATACCCCCCCCCCCCGCCCCCATCAGACGTGGAGCACAGCAATTACCGAGACGCACAGGCACAGGGCTACAGATGCCTCTCACTCACCGTTGCCTGACACAGAGCAAACCGACCGCGGGCTACCAAAACAACGGGGACGTTGTCCCGCAGACCGCTCCCTCTCTTGTCGGACCTCTCCTCCGGGCCCCGCACGCTCCCCCTCGCCTCGCCGAGGGCGTCTGCCCACACCTCGCTCGCCTGCCCACGCCCCAGGCGTCTGGCGACCCAGGGAAGGCATCCTTGACCTGCCACGCTCCCCTTGAATCACTCGTCCTGTCCTTCACTCCCTCCCTCTCTCTCCATCTCTCCTTCCCACCCTTTATCTGTCTTTCTCCCTCCCTCTCACTCCCTCCCCCTTTCTCTCTGTCTTTCTTCCTCCCTCCCTCCCTACCTCTCCCTCCCTCCCTCTCCCTGCCTCCCTCTCTCTTCCTGCGGGACCAGCAGCAACGGACGGCTGCTTTGGCCGTAACGATGACAGCGGGGCAGAGGCACGCTCCCCGCGCCGCGTGGTCGCACCTGCGCCGTCTGTTCCGCCGCTGGGCAACGGCGACGCCTTTTGGGTGGTGGTGGTGGGGGGGGTGAACAGATTTGCGAAGCGTGGAAGCTGAATCTTCACGGGAAGAGCTCCAGCGCGGCCAATGCCGTCTGCCGCAATTGGTATGAAACCCCGAAACGTTGGCCCCGTATCGACCGGCCGCTGGCGCTGTCGCCATTTACCTGGGCACGTCAGCCGCACCTGTGATCCGGGTTACGATATTTTGACGCTGATCGTCGTTGGCAGGGCAGCCGGCTCCGTTTTAGCCAGCGGCATATTGCGTGACGCGCCGCGCGCGGTTTGTTACGCGAGCGGACCGATGTCAATCCTTTACGTTCGCTCCGTGCGCTCGTAATGCGTGACCTTTACATTGTTTGCGTGTTCCTCCATGTGCACGAGCGTCACGAGCCCGTGTTCTCTCCACTGCTTGATAAAATAAATCTCCACCATACCACTGCCCCCCCCCCCGCCCCCCCACGGGGATGGGGGGTGGGGGACACCCGTTGCCATTTCCTTGCGATCGCGCGATGCCACAACCCATCTCTGCCTCGCGCGTGAACTCCATCTCATCGCTCCATCTCCACGGTGGGAATCCTCTCGGGGGGGGGAGGGGGGGCGAGATGATCTTTTCTGGCTGCCATTCTATCACCGATCTCGACCACCTCCCCCAGGAAGGATCACGTGATCGCACAACACCGCTGGGTTTCGTGCTTGATCCGAATCCAACTCAATGTGGACATTGCACTGCGATCGCAATCATCGTCCCCTCTATGGCAGACTAATGCCCGTTTTGCTCGAGTCACCGCGTGCTCACAGGGACAGCTGCCGCTGGGGGTGCCCCCCCCCCCAAATCGCGTTGCGACGAAATGCGACGTAAAAGCGCTCTTAAGATGCCCCAGCGAGAAGTGCGCCCTGTCGAACACGATCCACGATCGTGGCTCTCCATCAGTGCGCGCTATTCGTTGTCTTAGTGGAATTCCAAGCAAGCATAATGCTGTACGTACTCGTCCAGATAAATAAAGTAAACGTATTAAACAACGAGAAACAACCAATGCTTCTTTTCACAAGCAAGGAATTGGTATTAACACTGCATTAACAATGTGCATAAGAAGAAGGGAAACGTCTTTTCCTGTGCTGTGCGTGAGTGTGCGCTGGAGTTAGTGCCTGACTGGCCTCGATAGGCGCTCGCTAATGACACTTGCCATCGCAGTCTTATATAAATGTCTGTATCTCGTGTGCTCCGCATTGCACTGGTTAGTTTCGGCAGCAATTGAGTTGCAGTGGGTAGCAATCCGCATGCAGCAGCTGCACGGATTGCCGCATCGCAACACCGTACGGCGTCGCCAGAGCTTGGGGAGGCCTTCATCCAGCAGTGGATTGGTCATGACCGACGACGACGACAGTAGTTGACGTCATGCGGTTAGGTTAGTGTCCTCTTACGATGCCCGCGTGGTTACCGCGCTGCGAAACCGGGAAACCTAGGAGTGATTCCCAGCCGCGGCTAACAAGATCAGTGGTATCTGAACCAATCCTGGGCTATTCCACTCGCCACCGCCTTGTTTCACCAACTCGCACTGACCAGCGTGGTCAAGTGGGACGGCAGCACCCAGTGACCGACACCGCATAGGGAGGCCTTCATCCAGCAGTGGATTAACAACAAAGGGCCGCGCATTCGTCATTATCGAGGCTTCATTTCTCACCCGATACATTTGTGGAACGCTGTTAGTCAGCCTTGGAGTAGGGATTGGCGGCGTAAGGCACTACCAATAAAGCACCGCACACGGTATACCTAATAATAATAATCCTATATCATTGCGCTCTCTATTCACACAATCCTATAAACGGGTTTACAGGAATGCGGAGTTACAATGAGGACATGTCCTCGTGATCAATGATGACAATATGGTGGGATGGATTTTTTTTACGTGACAAAATCGTTCCCGGGACGGTGTTCCGGACCGTTCCGGCTGAAAATGAAAGGGCCTATTACCACGATTACGCCATTGAAGTGCCTTGAACAACGGTAGCAGTACCCTGGTGAAATCGGCAAGCAATGTTCAGCGTGTGCAGCTTAGTGTGTGGTTCAGAGTTGTCTTGGGAGGCAACAGATGGATTCGGAGGCTGGGGTATTGAGGATGCCAAGACATCGCATTGCCGCGCACGCTCCGTGTGGCTGCTGAAAACAGCTTCTGGTGCCTTCACTTTAATTCCACATTGTTTATCACCTGCAGCATTTCACACACACACACACAAAGCAATGTACCAATCTGCCAACCTGTCATAAATCCATCTGTGTGCGTTTGTCTACGCATACGTCTGCCTGTCCTTTCGCCTTAAGTTGCGGTTGCGTATGGACGCTGGGTGACTTTAGATTGTATTTGCGGTGTCTTCTTTCCAGTCGGGAGTCCCTGTTGTCTGCCTGTCCGTCTAGCCGTCCATCTATCTCTCAGTCCGCCCTTGCGTGCAGAGACGCACTTGTATCGATACGCTGCGTGAATCCAACATGGTATTGTATTCATTTCAACCAGGCATCTGTCCATCTGTCAGTCCGCAGTTGCATTTGGATGCTATAGAACATCCAAATTGTACTTGTCTTCAATTCTAACCAACTGTCCATCTGCACACCTGTCCATGTGAAAGTTCGTCACCTCGCCTTTCCCTGTCTATCTCCCGGCCTATCCCCTCCCCCCCCCCCCCCCCCCCCCCCCCGAGTCGGCCAGTCTGTATCGCTGGCTTGTTGATTTGTCTGTCTTATCTGTGTAAGGCAGCAGGGAAAATTACCAAATGTGATTTTAAGAGCTTGACTCATCCAATCCGTAATCACACCTCGGTAAGCAGCACAAATCCCATTCAGCAACCTCCACCTTTAAGCGGGGCTTAGAGGTGGGCTTGGGGGTTTTCATCTTTCAATCCTCATTCCATTTGCAACTCCACCTGAATTTAAATCCATTGCTGATCTACCTTAATCTCTCGAACTCAACATTTATTTACTTTGTTTAAGAAAATGATGCCCCCCCCCCCCACCCCACTTTCCCTCGGGAGCCCGCGAGGACCAATCGATGTTCAGTGCGGTTAGCGGCGGTCGCGAACGCTAGAGCGCGCTCGCTCTCCGATGTCCGACGTTTCGGCCCGT